TTATCATTTTATGGAAGTGATTTTCAATTTTTTATTTATTTATTCTTGGTTCAGTTGGAGTCAGAGAATGTGTGAGAGGCTTCCCAGCTTCACCACTAACAGCTGGACTGATCGTCAGAGCTGCTGCACAAAAACAAATAAACTTACCTTTCATCAGACTTTCCGCTCCGTGACGTGGCTTCCTCGGAGGCTTCCTGCAGGATTCGTGGGTGAAAACACGCGGCGAGACGCAGCCTCATCAGTCGCTGTGTTTCCTGCCGGGCTGCGTTTTGTTCTCATCCTCCCGACTTTCCTCTCCGTCTGCTCCCGGAGTGGAAGTGATGCGCAGCATCATCACCAGACGCCTGCAGGTCGCTCAGCCTCACACCGCAGCCTGTAACTAGGTAACAGCTCTGCTGCTGCACGCAGCCGAGGAGGAGGTGTTAGGAGTGGGAAAAAAAATACTAATCTTTGGTACTTGTTCTTGTGTGAGGCAGCCTCACGGGTGCTGCAGCATCCTGACTCCGCGCTCAGAACTTAGGCACAAATAAGTTTTTCCCTTGAGAGACACATCCGCAGGAACTAAAAATTAAAAGTATTTGAACAAAATATTATTATAAAATAAATAGTTCACCAAGTTTTTCTGTTTGAATATTTTCTTGTGTTCAGTTTGTTTTTAGTTGTACCTTCAGCTCCTCTTAGATGACACAATCTCACAGCTGCATTCCATCCACTCATTAAGCTCACCTGCAGTCAGTCTAACTAATTAGGGTTTTCCAAACTTTTCTTTTCTTAAGAGCTGCTTTCATGAAATGAAATTGTAGAAGAACAATTTTTTGCAACATTTGATTTTAAACTTTAACTCAAACCGTTGAAATGAGCTTGTTTTGCTTGAACATTTAGACAAAAAGCATTGTCTTCAACTCACATGAAACCATCGAACAGTGAATTTACATGAATGTGCTTTTTGTGTTTATCCATTCATATTATAGTGTATTTCACACTACGAAGGGTTTAACTGGGACAGATTTGTGACGAGTCTCAGCATTTTTCCCCATGGTAGACTCCAGCGGGAAGAAATCCTGTGCAGTGAAAAATCTTAAAGTATCTGATATTTTTTTGTAGTTAAGTAATAAAAGTCAAAGTATAGATTTAAAATGAGCAGTTAGATTTTCTGTAAGGACATTTATTAGGAGGTGACCTCCCCAAAAACTGCAGAAATGACTGTTGTATTAAAAGAATGAATGGATGTTAAATTTAGGATGCACTAGTCCAGCTGTTTCAGTTTATATACATATATCAAGGCTGCACAAAGCTTTTCCCCAAAATGAAAATCTATCTGAGGGCTGCGGCCAAATGTAAMAATATAATTCATGAAATACAAATACTTCTTAAGTACAGTCCTTTTATTTGAATGATTCTGTCCTGCTGGAGTGTGACATGATTTGTATACTATCAGAACTTAATATATTTATACTTCTCATTCAACCACAGTTAAATTCACTCTATCTAGGAGGCACAGTTTATATGGATAGTTTTTACTTTTTACAACACTGTACAACCATGTGACCACGCATCGTTGACTGCCGTTCGACCACACTGAGCCCTAGATTGTTTGATTGACAACCAAGTGGGAGGGAATAAATGGATTGATTGGATATAAATGAAGGTTTGGGCAGCGACAAATTAAATTTTGCTACTTTTAATTATTCATAAGCACTGAAGAGCTACTTTAAATGAGCTCATATTGGAGACCCCTGGTCTKAATCCACCTCTTTATGTTGCACCTACTTGTTGTCTTCATTTTCGTTTTAGAATAACTTTTAAAAACCTGTCTGAAACGTGAATCTCCTCCCCCTGCGTACTTAAAGACATAAGCTGAGAAAAATGCTGAAGCTGTTTTTAACTGAATTTGCCTGAGAACCAAACTGACACTTGACTTTAACTGAATTTCTGCGCACAGGATGTTAACCGCATCACTGCCTGCTGGCTYCCATGCTTTTTAATAATTCATCCCCTGGGATCAAATTATACAAATTACACTGCAGCTTTGGGATAAATAATAAAACAACATAAACATGGCGTGTTTTATTAAAGCTTCTTCCAAGCCCCATCAAACCACCCGATAGTAAGAAAAAAAATCACTTAATTGCTGCTTCTATCACCAAATATTAAATGTGACAAGGCGAAAATTGAGAGAAGCAGAGGCTTTGTAAGCGGCTTGGCACTCAATTTATTTGTCATTATCTGAAAAAAGCTGYAAGTCTGGGAGGGTGTTGCTGAGCTGACACCAGTTCACAGAGTAATTACACACAGAGGGCCACAAAACAAAACATAAATCCAAAACGCCTCGCCCTGTCACACGGGTAGGCTTACTTACAGCAGAGAAAAGGAGCGAGCTGCTCACATTTGTTCAAAATTYCAGAGGAAATAGGTTGGAGGTGATTAAATAAAATGTTTTACTAATTTTGTCAGAGCGGGCCGCGTTAGAGCTCATCTCGCTGCACTTYTTAGGAATAATTTGTTCAAGACGTTAAAATCTGCTTCAGCAAACTCGCTCTATTTTTGTCTTTTGTTGCTTCTTGTCAGCCTTACAGATGTGTTGGATTTACTTGAACAAATCATGTCAACTGGTTCCACTCCACTGAACGGAGTAAATGTAACACTTTTAAATAAATTTAAAAAGTGCTTTACATTTACTGCGTTCAGCTGAGTGGAACTGGTTAATTTGTTCAAGTAAATCCAACACATCTGTTTTTTGTGCTCCTCTAGCCAGAACATAACATGTAAAATCCACTTTTTTAGCTGTTAAAACATGTTGTTGTAGACTTGGAGTCCCTGGGACATGAGTTTTAAACCGTTTTGGGTCTGGGGACCCCTTACAAGGGTGCAAAAATTCCAGGGACCCCCTCATAAACCCCATGCTGTTAGTGCAAAAATAATTTACTGTTCTTTTAACCCCTAAATGTCATGGTAATAGAATTTTTGTTTGGTTTCAGTATGTTTGTTTTACTTGTGCATTARTCCCCATAGGCATTTTTTAAAATAAAAAACAAATGAACAATTTTTTGAAAATTTTTGAGYACCTCTAAGACATGACTCGCGGWCCCCTGGAGGTCCTGATWCCCCAGTTTGWGAACCTCTGCTCTAGGAGGCAGAAAAGTTGAGTTTCGTCTCTCCTGGTTCTGCAGAGCTTTATTTTCAGTTTGGGTCAGATTTTTCAGCCCGTTCAAGTTTCTTTCATTTCTATGACATTTTCTGAACTATTACATCAAATTATCTGCAACAGAATTATTACAAAGTCTGGACTTACTGAGTACTATTTCCTCATCTTAATTCTCCTCTAGTTCTGGGTCAGACTCTCCAATAAGGCGGGATGAACAAGTCTTCTCTTGTTGACATCTTTAAATTAATTTGTAAATAAAATATTTCTGCAAGCTCAAAAATGCTGACCAGCTCTCTCAAACCGGAGTGGACCGGTCTGGAAGCAGGAGGGGGGCGGGGCTTGAAGCAGCTGCTTTGAGACACAGCAAGAAAGAGGAAAAAGATGAGCTGGGAAAGTTAGAATAACGAGGAATTCAGACCAAAGCTTTGTAGTTACACTTTGTAAAAARCCAWCTGAAGGYTTTAAATGTGAAAAAAAAAAGATTTAAAAGCATCATATGTTTAKTTTAGTSTTTTGCTTTWAYTCTTTCACCTTTAGCGCTGTTATTCAACACTCAGCCTCACAGTTTTATTTACTGTAAGATGAATTATTTAGATTTATTCTGAACTCAGTTCTGTTGAGCTAAATGATCAGAAATTATTTTAGTTGCACTTCTTCACATAGTGACATTTRATCTTTTTATTCTTACCTCTCTCAAGTTAAAACTGTCCCATAACATGAACTCTTTAAGAAACATAATAAAATAAGATGCCTTAACAAAGAGGTTTCACAATATAAGTTTCTTTTTTCTTTATTTGTCTTTTAAAACRTCTAAAAAAAGCTGCAGAACAGATGTATGAAATGGCTTTGGACTCTTGATTCGTCCCTCAGACGGTTGTTTTGGTGGCTTTATGGGTCTCAGTCGTGCCGTGAGGCTCACAAAGCAGATGTGATGTGAAACGTTTCCTCACATGGATGTTTTAGTTGCTTTAGTGGGTCTTAAAGCTGTGAAATGTTTCCTCAGACGTGTTGTTGAGGATCACTCATCAGATCAGGCTGTTGTGTTGAAATGTGACAAAGCAATCCCTTTTTTTCTGACAGTATTATCACTTCTCTGGTGCTTTCACAAAGAAAGCTGCTGACTGCTGTAAAGGATTTCTCTCAGACACCCCCCCCCCCCCGCTGTTCTTTAAACGACCATGACAACAGTGATGATGAGACCATCTGCTGCTGCAACAGTGGCCAGAAAGATGGAGACTCATTCTTCGTTCTGTTCATAATCAGTGACAATATTTTGCTTCCTGTAAAGGAACAGAAACAACGTCATGAACTGCTGGAAACTGATTAATTTTTTTACTCTCATCGAACAGCGTTGCCTTCCTGCCGACACTGGATTCTGGATTTTCTAATCAGATCTGCTTGTTGTAGCTTCAAGCTTCAAGCATTAAGCCTAATTTTTTAAATTAATAACTCTATTTAGAGGAGAATGCCAAAATTACAAAAACGTATTAGAAATTATAAAAAAAGACACAATAAAACCTGCATTTGCATGAATAGTGATCTTAAAGATGGACAACTGTAGCCTCAAAACCTGGGCCCAAACCACTGAGGTCACAGCTCGTTTCAGCTGGCATGAATTAAATATCACTGAATGATATTATAGAAGGAAACAGGAGAATTTAAATCAATGTGAGCAGCATTAATATTTATGTTTGCTTTTATGGAATTCTCCACATTTCTTCCATGATAGACTTTGAGCTTACAGAGAAGGAGCGAAAAGAAAATGAGCTCCATTAATAAAAGTCAATCTACCTTTTTTTTTCTTGAGTCGAGTTAGAAGAAAAAAAACATCTAATTAGATTCTGTTTCTGATGTAGTTTTCTACCTGAGTGTGGAGCGCGAGCATCACAGCACCTCTGGGAACGGACTCTTACAGCGTCTGAAAGGTCACAAACGCTGCCCACACGTTTCCCGCCTGCCTCAAATAACTCCGATTTAAAGAGACAAACCAGAAATCCCCCGAAGGAAACAAGAATTCACCAGCAGGAAGTCAATGAAGCTGGGAAGGTCTTTCTAACAACGATGTGAGTCTTCACCACCCACTGCTGAAGGTGGAGCCGTCGTGTGTTTGTCTGTTAGCAAAATATCTCACGAATCACTTATCACAATTATTCATTGGAACTTTCAGAAATAAATCATTAGATGTACAGTACGTCTACCACTGATAGTTCTGTATGGAGGACCGAAACTGACATAATTAGAAATAAAATCAGAAATATATAAACGGACCAATGAATGGCTTAAAGTTTGAAGTTTAGTTTAAAATAAAGACACAGGTCAGTGTTTTTCCTCATTGACTTTAAACTAAACTGAGGCAGCAGCAGCATGCACAGTAGATCTGCACATGGATCCTGCTCCTTCCTGTCTGTTGACCAAT